GATATTGATTATTTACAGCTCCTCCAATTAACTCTTAAAAATGTTAAACAATTCCTTTTAAGGATTCTAGAGGCTTTAAGTTCAGATGACTGATTTAGCACAGGGCCAGCAAAAAAGCACCAATACTGTTTTACTCAGCCAAAATGTTAATTGTTGTAAATCTTTTAAGAAAAATTCTGAGCATTCATCTTTTTGAATTTGATTTTAGAGTATTTTTAAATTGCTTCACTTTGTCATAATTTAGATGAGAACACCTGCATTAGTCTGGAAATGAATATAAACGTTCCATTTGTTTGTATTGTCTTTTTTTTCTTGCACATACCATATGTCATTATTGTTTAAGCTAAAAAGATTTTTAAACTTCTAATTTAGTTAATTTGTACAAACCTTTAACACACGCATACAAAAAAAATCATTAATGTGGAATATATTCAACAGAATATTTGGTGACAAGTGAAGGTTCAATCATCCGTTATCTTAACCCGCTTTCTTTCAGGGTCACCAGTGCCCATATCCAGCAGTCATTGTGCGAGGGGCGGGGACACCATGGACAGACCACAAGTCCATCACAGGGACACATGGAAACAAACAAACATTCACACTCACCATAGGGACAATTTTAAAATTACCATTTAACCTAACAGTCATGTTGTTTGTGGGAGGAAACCGAACTACCTGGAGAAAACCCACACATGCATGGAGAGAACATACACAAACTCTACCCAGAAAGGTCCCCGGCTGAGATTCGAGCAACCATCTTGCGGAGAGGCAACAGCTCTACCAATTGAGCCACCATGCCGCCATGAGTGAAGGTGTCAGGTTTAAATATAAAAGAATTCGCCAGTTTAGTTGTTTAGGCTAAGCTTGTTCTAAACTGTAAACTGTAATGTCCAGTTGTTTTGTCACATGCTTTACTTAATACAGTAAAAAAAGGTTGAGGGAACTTCAGTACAATCTCTGGGGGAATCTCAGAGCACAGAAATCAAGACCATAAAACTCTCAGGCAGCACTCTGGGAAATTGTTCTGACGCAATGATAGTCATATGAACTCTGAGGTGTTTGGAAAAAACACTTACATCTCACCAAAATCTGTTACTTTAGTCAGAAATATAACCTGGAAGTGTATCATGAGGGGAAAGGAAAATAGTAGTGCTCACAATTTGTGTAAAGAATAAATGACAGAACACCCCTAATTATGTAGGACTTTTTATTAAAAGTCATTTTATGCCAATAGTTATTTTCTGCAAGATTATATTGTTCATGTTTTTTCTGACTGACAACATAAGGTGTAATTATTAACAATGGCTCAACTCAAAATTACTGATCTGCCTCTTAAAAAACTGATTGATGCATCATGAAGAAAACTTTAAAACGGGGACAATCATGACTACTGAGTGCAAGAAATGTTGTTCAGAAACAAAGCACCCTCATTTTTAGTAACAAAATGTATTCTAGTTTTGTTTTGATCAAAATACAAGATCTCTATGTTTGTCTTTTAAAAAACTTTTCTGCAAATACGTTTTTCAAAAAGCTTTAAATATCTGCTCATTGTTCAATAAACTCAACTCTACAGCTGCTTTTGTGATGTGACAGTTCAGGTGCTGATTAGTTTCACTGTTATATTTGCAAAACCCTCAGATGCACTGTAATGTTCCTTTTTTTATTTATTTTTTTGGTGGGAACACTGGTTTCTGTGTGAGCAGCATGACTTGTCAGGTAAAATGAACAGATGAAAATGTTTCTTCCTCTTATGAGGATTTTACAGTTTGTTCTCCTGCAGGTCAAACTAAGTCTGGTTTGGCCTGTGGTGGATTTTCTGTGGACCGTGATCCATTCCAGGTTTTACCACCACTTAGCTGAAAACTGTGACAAGTCCAAAAGAAAATTATGTGGGGAAAAAATGGATAGAATCATGTGCATCATGCCAAATTTCCTAAATATAAAAAAGTTTTCTTTGACTTTTTGTATTTGAAATATTATATGCACATCACAGGCACTAAAAGTTACATTTTGCGTGATGATGAAAGTGTTAATAGGTAAAAGGTTGAAACAAAAACCAAAGATTGTCCTCAAGGAATTTTTTTATTTCCTTCTGTTTAAACAGCAGGTGGTTTGTTGTTGTTTCAAAAAAATCTCTAGGATAAAAAAATCCTGTTGACCTAGAAGTTACTAGACAAAAAGCAAAATCCTTAAACTAAATGTTAAAAAGTGTAGTATAAAAATCTTACATTGTTACCCCCTGTTTTTGTCTTTACAGCTGTAGGAGACCTGTTTTATTTGACTTTTGGATATCAGCACAGAATCAAAACAAAAGCATCAAATGCACTTGCTATTTTACTCAAAAAAATAAAATACTTCATCTTCCTGTAAACCCCCTGAGAATAAATGACATGTTGTGTTCCAGAATGTGTGACACTATCTTTAGACGACTTTCTACAGATAGGGAACCCATAACTCATGGATGTAAAAGCAGGGTAAGAGAAAAAAAAATAACTTAACAAGACACTCTAAATATGCTATTAATGTTATATACTCTAATAATGTTAATACGCTGCCCTCATGTGGACAATAAAAATCATTGACTCTGTACAAAGAAAACWGTTGTACACCCATTCCTTCATTTTTATCTTTGTTTTTGGATTTTACTGTTTTAGTTGTTGTTTTTTTCTTTTTTTGTTTGTTTTACTAAAGTTTCACTCTTCATTATTTAGTTATGCTTTTGTTGACAGCTCATTTTGAACCTCTTGCTCAACATCATCCCAAGCACTACAATATTGAGAACATTTAACATATAATGACATTGACATGACTGAAAGAACAGCTTTCATTCTTCCATTTATGTTTTTAATTTCCATTTAGCATCATGTATTCACAGGTCACAAGGCTTGTCACAGACCAGTTTCCATGGACCACTGACCCACATAAATATGTTTCTCATTTTAAAGGCAACAACAGTTTCTTTCAGTGAAACATTTCTTATGCAGAGGRAAAAAAAACATTTATTTTAGTCATAAAGTTTTCCTAAATATGTTTTAACTAAAATCACTGAATCAGCATATTACACTCACCATTACGTCCAGAACAAGACAGCTACTTCCTCAGGATAAAATGAATTTGGTTTACTCCTCCTTAAGAGTCTTTTGTTAAAAAATAAAAATATAAAAAATAAAGCCTTGCTGGATCTGTTTTGTCCTAAAACAGAGAACCTCTTGTTGAGGCAGACAAAACTGAAAGAGGAATTAGAGGATTCTCTTCCTTTAAAGCACGCTCGATGTTACTCAACACTGTGGAGTTATTACCTTTTTTACATAACCCTACATCCTTTTGTTGAATCATTTCCTAAGTTAGAATTTTGTTTCAACTGTTTTACATGTGAAATGGCACAGCAGAATGACAAGGGAATAATAACCAACACCATTACAGAGCATCACAATGAACCACAACTGAAAATCACCATCTTAATGACAATAAAGATGGTGATTTCATTTACAGCAACTTTGCTCCCCACTACTGTTTATTGAAAATTTTTTTGAAATTAGCCTAAATAAAATTAAAGAAATTAAAACAGCATTAATACAACAACTTAACAATAATATTAAAAGATTATAAAGACTATATTTCTTATTACTGACAGCTGCTTTCTGTGTTAGAAGGGAAGCTGGAAATGTCCTTTTTCATTGTTCCACTGATACCACGTACCTTTCTGTGATACCTTTAATCAGACTTTGTTGTTGTACACAAGAATAAAGGAACAAAGTTTACTGTAACTGTGCTTTCAAGGGTAAAATATTGTCATATTGTTCATCTTTCACCTTTTAGACTGAAATTATTTTAACTTGGAGGGAAAAATGGTTACCATTTTTATCAGATTTTGAAAATATTGCAGTCTTATACTGCAATATGTGATCCTACATTTCGACTCTCAGCTACGACTACATAAAGTTTTAGCTCAAAATCCTTGTAGAGTACTACTGTAGTTYTTGTCTTGATAAGTTTTGATTATCTGTCATCGATGTGATGCATGATTATCGTAATTAAGTTCTAATCAAATTTATTCTGTAGTTTATATTTCTTTTCTAACAGAAGAACAGGGCTGACTTGAACAGGAAATACTGTTTCAAGCAAAATGTTGTAAATTATTTTTTTCTGCAAGTATCTTTATAGTTTCTTCAGTGACTCATGAAGGATTTTGCGGACTCACACTATCATCTCATCTTTAACTAGAAAATTTCAGCAGGTACCAGCTCACATTATTTTAAAAGGAAATTAATCACAGGAAGGAAGTAACTAAAAGCAATTTCTTGGCATGGTAAAGGCTGATAATTACATTTTGACAAAGTGACTTTGTAGAAATGAGAGAAACCACGCATGTGAAAAATACAAGAAGTATTTTTTTACACTGACTAAAGAAAAGAAACTCTACAAACTATTTAAAAATCAAAAATATATGCATTTTATTTAAACAAAAATTAAATTAATTAAAGTTATTAAACCTTCATCTTCCTCTTCTTTTGGCTGTTCTTTCTTCAGTGGTTGCCTCAGTGAGTCAGCCTCCTTCATCTTGATCTGTCCTCTCTTCTGTCCTTATTCTACCTACCTCCATGTCCTCAAATATTGTGTATAGAAATTATATATTTATATATTATTTTATATATTGTATACAGGTTTTGGGGGGAAAGAATGCAACAAGAAAAGGAAAAAAGTAAGATGGATGGATGGATGGATGGATGGATGGATGGATGGATGGATGGATGGATGGATGGATGGATGGATGGATGGATGGATGGAAATTTTGGGGTATTAAAACAGCAATATGTCACATTTTGTCTTTTACATAACACGAGTAAAATAGATTTCCTGTTGTTGTAAATATAATGAAAAATATCAAATCTGAACTTTGGTTTTGCTTGAACTTTCTAGTACTGTCAATCAAATTAACTTTTAAATAAACATCCAAACAAAATTAATATTTCAGAAAAATAAAGCAAGAAAATAGTCACTTAAAGTATTGCACACTTTAATGAAGAACACGTTTGCACTTCTGACTCAGTGAAAACAAATCTCTACTGTATTCTCAAAATAAACAAGAAAGCTGTAAACAAACACATTTTCTTTCTGTTTAGTATTCAGATGAAGTCAAATCTTTTTTAAACTAGTGTTTTGTGGAGTTCATATCTGTATTCAGATATGTAAAAAATTTTTTTGCAACTTTAGTAAAATATTGTTTGAATAAATCACTATGACATTTTACAAGTTCTTTTAAAACAGGAGAAATCTGCTTAAACTTCCTCAGATTAGCTGATCCTCCAAACTGAGAGTGATCACTACAGGTAAGATACTGACTACTGATAACCTCACGTAACACATCTTCACAAATCTATATTATTCTTTTTGATATACATAAAAAACACTACATTCTGGAAAATGTTGAGTATATTTGTTGGTGTGAGCTGAATAAAAATAATGGTCCTCTGAGCTCATGTACCCAGTTGTAGAAAGGTAGAAAATGTGTTTTTTTTTTTAACTTGTTGCTTTACATTTCTGTTTCTGGGTTAAACAAAACTGTTTCAGAGTGGCTGAAGGTCTTTTTTATTATTTTAAAAGAGTATTGTCAAAGTTGTTTTTATTTCTCTCTTTAAACTCAGCTGAATGTTAAATCACAACATGAAACCTGAAGGTCCCCAGATCCAGATTCCAGTGGTCCGGTCTCAGCCTGACGGTCTCACATCATCAGTCACACGTGTTTCCCTCTGCCTTCAGATATGACGTGTTCGGGCACGGCACGGGTGTACCACTCCGACCACGAGCCATCGTACACGGACACCTCCTGGTGGCCGCACTCGTGGGCGGCCAGCGCCACGTGGCACGCAGTCACAGCAGAACCACACAGGACGCACATGGGACGACTAGGGTCCACGCCTGCCCGGACAAACAGGTCCTGGAGTTTGTCTTTAGGCAGGAAGTGACCTGTAGGAGACAGGAGGGAGTGGAAGGGGATGTTGATGGAGCCGGGGATGTGGCCTGGCTCCGTGTCTGTGAAACAGAAAAATAAAAAGAGAAAAAAGTCAAATATGTTTTGTTTTTATTATTAAAATAAAAAATGTAATGCCTAACTAAATTATTGAACTGGACATGATGAATTTTAGTATTTTGATATGGGCGCTGACTTTTAGAAGCAGAAGTGACATTTTCTGACGTGTCAAAGCTTGTTTTATTTAACCTATGAGCAGTGGTGGGCAGCGCTAATCCAAAAATTAGCTCCGCAATTTCTAAAGTGCTTTATAAAAATATTTAGGTCCGCAACTTCAAAAGCGCTTATGCCATAGAAAAAYTAGCRGAAGCTAATTTTAAAACCCAAGTTCAATTTGACACTTACTAGCTGGCAACAATTCATGTAAAATATATGCACAACACTGCCAACTAGCAATGTATTGAACTCAGCTTAATCCTAACTGCCGATGGCTGGGGATGTGAGTTCCTGAAACAGACCTTTAGCTCCTGGTGTAAAAATTAAAAAGTTATTGAGGATTGCTAGTTCGGCTGCTTCTTTGTCTTTTTCTTTTGCTTGTTGTAGATTTTTCATTAAAGATGCATCAATAAAGTAATTTTAAAACTGTTTATTGGAAAACTGAAGTGATGCATTCTGGGTACGTGACAGATTTGATTTGTGACGGGAAACAAAAGCATAGAGTACAGGAAACTACTGTATCTTCCCTTCAAAATAAGAGCTTGGATTTTAAAGTTTTCCATGTAGTTGCTCCAGTTGACCACTAGATGTCCGTCTTCACCAGCATAAAATCTTTAAAACATTTCTGAGTCTCAAACCCCGTTGGCTGATTGTTCAACCAATTACGTCAAGTGTTGAGCTCCAGCGTTTAAACCTTTTTTTATATAAAAAAGTAGCTCCGATTGTAAAGTAAAATAAATCAATACATACAAAATTTTAGTATGGATTACAAACGTTAACTGTTTTTGCTATTGCCTTCCTGCTACATAAGCATTGTGGGGAATGAGAACCGTGACCGAAAGCAACAGTCAGCAAGGACGTATACCTTCTCAATAAGTGTGTTTATGTGTTAGGGGTGCTGTTGGATAGATCACGTGCGTTGTGATTCATTGACAGTCATACCTTCCGCTGTTCAAGATAATGATGACTGGTAGATAATTAGTTATTAGCATTATTGCATTTTAATTTTAGAAAGCGTAAATCTGCTTATGAATTATAAAACTTAGTAAGACCACTAAAGCACAAACAAAATATTTAGGTCCGCAATTAGCAGATTTGCGCTTTAGCGGGCTGGTGCCCACCACTGCTTATGAGCAAAAACTCAGTTGCTTCTTCTTCTCCAGCAGCTGGTTTCTAAAACATTTGATTGTCCTTTCTGGTAGATCTATAACGTGTTCCATGTTTTCATGTCATTTTTATATCAACCTATTCAAGCTGCAGCGTCAGCCTTCGATGTTGTTTGAGTTGCTTATACACTTGGACTTTACAAATCAGTATTGGGTTTTAGGTTTGTATTTTTACTTTACTGTTTTAAATCATTTTGTTCTCAGTGAAAAAATATTACAAATCTACAGCACTGTTTAGACAAGTTAGCAATATTTCAAACAGCAAAGGTTCAATAATCGAAACACAAAAAAATTGTGTTTGATTGTCAAGGTTTATTTGTCAATAGGCAGCCACTTTACACTTTATCATTCATTATATAAATATATCGATTTGGTCCTATTAAATGACATTTCTTAACTTTTAACACTGACCTTATCCTTAGTTTATTCTGATCCTTTTATCACCACTCATAATTTATCAACCGTCCCAGCAGTTCTTTAAAAATGAGCCCCAAAAAGAATAGTTATATTGTTAGGGATGTTAATAGTGTGATTTTTTTATTTCTATAATCCTATAGAGCAGTGGTTCCCAAACGTTTTGTCTTCTGACCCACAAAATATTCATGGCAAAAACTTGTGACCCCAACTATTACTGGTTTGAGTACATAAACTTTGTTAATAACCCTAAAAACACAGGCTTTTTGACTATCTAAACAGCTTGTACACAAATATAAATACTTATTTATACGTTTTTTGTGTTTCTGTAATAATTATAGGGAAAATATTACATCAGCAATTATTTTATTACCCTTTAAATTGATTTCTGGAGATTATCCAAGGTGCNGTAATCATTTTATTGCCCTTTAAATTGATTTCTGGAGATTATCCAAGGTGCCCATTATTGGGTCCCAAGCCCAACTTTGGGAACCAAAGTGCAGTGATTCCCAAACTTTTCAGCTTTTGACCCACAAAATAACAGTAGCAGAGACCTGTGCCCACAAATATTTTTGGATGATGAACATTTGTATCAGGTCAACCAATCATGGGCATAGTAACAATTTTTATAATTCTACATTTATCCATTTTAAATACACTAACCTCACTCCTTTGTAACAACTAAGGCAAAAATATAACTTATTCAGAAAATCACTTCAGGACCCCACCTTGATGTTTCGGGACCCAACTTTGGGTCCTGACCCCAACTTTGGGAAATACTGCTATAGACCTTTGATTTCCCTGTTTACCAGATTATATGTTCAATATGTCAACAACTCTGAACTAATTAAGGTCAATAAATGTCTCCTGCTGACCCTGGGGTCAAAATGACCCACAAGGTCTCAGTTTTAAACCTCATGGGTTATTTTGATCTAAGGGCAACAGGAGGGTTAAATTAAAATTGGCAACAATTATGAAGAATGCCTCCAACTCATATTAGCGTTTCTGCATTTTATGAGCTTTAGCCTGTAATTCCACACATTTAATTTCTGTGTCTGTGTGACATAATGYCACAGAAGTTTGCTTCACATGTTTTAGTTAAACCAAAGTGATGACGTTGACAAAAACCTGTAAGCAATATGACGTCAGAAAGAGGAAGTTGAGCGTCAGTTTTGTTTCCGTGTAAACCCTGACAGGCAGACCTTTGTCAAATTACAGAACAAAAATCACAAATGTGCGTAGCAAAATTTAAAAAATATATATATACTGAATTGAACTTTAGCTGCACCACTGACTCCTTACTCCCCAGTCTAAACATCATGTCTGTCAGTGCAGTAAGAGGTTAGTGTGCACCTGATGTGTGCCTACAACTCTGTATTGCTCATTACAGAGTAATGTAAGAAAAAAACATTACATTAAAAAATAGTCCTGAACAAAATCATGGAGTGCTGTTTCAAGGAGTTTACTCCAGTAGTTTCTCAGGTACATTTATATACAGCTTTGAAATGCAGGTCTGCACTCAATGTAAACAAAGCACCTTTATCTACCTCATTAAATCTGTGCCTAATTACACAGCAATACTACAACATTGTCAAACTTATTGATCGAACGGCTCTTCTAAGGACGTCTCCATTGTTGTTTTCTTTTTTATTTTAGTTTCAGTYACTTCATCTCTTTCTAAAGGTAAACACAAGCATGTGGTAGTTAGCAGCTGCTCTCAAACTTGTGCAGATTTTGTTTCTTACATTAAGTCCTTTTTAGACTAATTTTTGTGACATAGAAATGAGTACCTTTAAGTCCCTCTGATATTAGGCTCCATAAAAACCAGAAATCCAGTGAAGAGTTTAAATACGGCTGAATCAATGAGTGAAAGCTGGTTGTTCCAGCTGAGAGACACCTTTAGGAACTGGGTAAACATTAGATAAAAAACTTGACATTAGTTGAGTAAAAATATCAAGTCTGTGACCTCTTGGCTGCTGGAGAGATCATGCAGACCCATTAAACAAGGCTGATGAAGAAGAGTTTTGGGTTTTAGATTATCATGTTGTTTTTTTTTTCCCAAAAAGAGTATTTCTGCAAGAGGATGAGAGGTAAAGTCCTATTGGGAAGAGCATAACAAAGACCAACAATACTGCCACATAAAACAGAGCAGGAGACAGAAACATTCCCAATCAATTCCAACAGTTCATCTGGTCAAAGCTCAAATTTGAAGCTGCTTTCACAAAGCGCCGCTCCGCTGTAAGAGACATCAAAGCATTCCTGTGTGTGTGTCTATAGGAGTTCTAGTAGATGGGACTCTGTTGATAAGAGTTCCACTATCAGTACCTGCTGGGTTCAACACGGTCTAACCGTGGTCAAAGGCTAAATTTTGTTCGGTTCACTTTAAAGTATATTATTAGTCTGTCGTGTGCTGATGTGTGTGTGAGCCTGAGTCAAACTGCACAGTTCTGTGTCTTACTGACAGTGAGTTTGTGTTGACCACTGATTTTCACTGTGTTCCATTGATGTATTTAACAAGAGCAAAACGCTGCACAAACTTTGCTAAGAAGCTCAGCAGATAGTTCCATGACGCGCGTCTGCTGAGTTACCTCCGAACGGTTTCACCTGCTCTGTTTCATGTACTGTAGTTTCCATCTGCTTCTGCTGTTTGTATTTCCAAAGAAAAGGCAAAAAAACTAAAACATTTATCATTTAGATTTATAAAAAAAACACTGTACTGTTTTTTATTTTTATTTTTTTATGAATCTGCAATTTTCCCTAAAGGCTGTAAGTCCTTGTCTAGATAAACTGGATCAATAAATGTCCACATGGCATGTTTATTTCAGCCATTTTATAGAACTTTTATTGCAGCAACAGTCCAATTTTAGAGTTTCATGTGTGACTCAGGAAGAAGACCTGTTAATTTATAAATGACAGGTTGGCAATACGATCCTGAATGAACCTCTTGCAGCCCTCAATTCTGCAAATCAGTGTGTGGGCACGTTTTTGCTACATCATGGGAACTACTTTCCAGTTAAAAGGCAGCCTCTGAATGTGAGAGGCTGTGCAGGATGTGCAGACTGAATGTGCATCGTGGGGACCAAAGCCCGGTCCCCACGGGCACAAATGTGTGTGTGTGTGTGTGTGTGTGTGAACATGACCAGACAGACCAAATAGCGAGCTGATATTTGCTACGTAAAAAATTGGTAATGGCTCTGAAGGTTCTTTCATGTATTCCTTTCTGCAGGAGTGGCCACAGAGAATGAAAATACAACAAAATCAAACTTTGTTTTGTGCTGTTCCTGAGGCAGCCTGGGCTAAAACCTGCAGCCTCAGGATTACAATCGCTCTGAGCACCGACCTACAGAAGCCTTTGTGAACAGCTAATCAATTATCAAGAAGRAAAAAAATAAAACTAAGATGATCCTAAAAACAAGCACTATGTAAAACTAATTTACTCCTGATCTGGTACTTTAACAGAAGTAGGGTTGGGCATCGAGTCTCCAGTACCGACTGGAACCGGGACTAATGTTTCAATTCTCCCGGAATCGTTCGTACTTTTAAATTTCGATACCTAGTTTCAATACCCAGTCCGCCAACTGGAAGAAAAAGCCGCCCAACAACAACAAGAAAAAATAAACAGGTGAGCCGCCGAGCACCAATTTAATTTGGAGTTCAGACTCAAATTTTCAAATGAAGTGAAATAATCTGCCAGTGCAGTAAGACAATTGCACTTGATAAAACCTAAAATGAGGAAAACATTTCCAGGCTAATAGGATTAATAATCAAACACATTCTGCTAGTGTTGTGGTACTTGAAACCAGTCTTGGTCTTAAGACCGGCCTCAAGACCAGTTTTTGATGGTCTTGGTCTCGTCTCGGACTCGACAGCATTTGTACTCGGTCTTGTCTCAGTCTCGGACATTGAGGACTAGGGTTGGGCATAATCGTATTGTGTGCAATTAATCGTCTGAAAAACATTAATCGATTAATTTTTGGCACTTAACAATTAATATGATTAATGCCAACAGGCAGAGTCCGCTCGCTGCTCCTCTCCGCTTCAAATATAACAAACATTTAAAAAAAGTTCTGTAATTTATTTATCTATCAACACAATTTAAAGTTGATGTATAGCCTGAAGTCTGTAATTTTGACACAATTTGGAACAGATTTTTATGAAGAGCAAATCTTTCCCACTAAATTGGTCATGTGACTATGAAGTAAGGGTGTCCAGGGACTCCAGGGGATTAATCGTCAAATTAATCATTATCGGCTAAATACCACAACTAATCGTGAATTATTTTTTTGCCAATATTGCCCAACCCTATTGAGGACTCGGAAATTTATTTCAAGACCAGTCAAGACCRCAACTGCGGAAATATAACTAAATACCCAGATTATTGTCCAATTTATTTGGTAACAATCTTGCTTTCATTGGATTTAAAATGTAGCTACTGATTCAAATTCAAAGCTGACTCATTGCTATTTACGTATTTTTGTTACCGGCTGTCACCCATCCCCACCCCCCATCACTCGCACGCAGCACTCCTGGAAAGTGAACCGTGGTTCTGGGAGCGGTAAAGGATGTCTTCAAATTTTTAAGTAAATAAATTTGGCTACATTATTCATAAATAATATAATTGTAAAACAACAACAACCAGGAGAAACTGTAGAGCAACTTGTAAATTTGGCAGTGCTTCACTTTCAGAGACAGTGAGGACAACGTAAACCTTTTATCGTCACTAACGTTAACAATCTACCTCTGTAGAAAAATTCTTTCCTCTGCCCTCACACAAAGATTTTGTCAATATTAGCTCTACATATTAAGTTAGCTAAAGTGGGGGGAAAAGTATTTAGTCGGCACCAATTGTTCAAGTTCTCCCACTTAAAAAGACGAGAGAGTCCTGTGATTGACATCATAGTTAGACCTTAACTATAAAAGACTAAATACCCCCCACTGTACATGTGTACAGAATACTCCATCTTTTAGGACACATTTTTTTTCTTGGTCTTGGTCTTGTCTCGGTCTCGCCCTCCCTTGGTCTTGGTCTCGACTTGGTCCAAACCCTAAAAGTCTTGGTCTTGTCTCGGTCTCGCCCTCCCTTGGTCTTGGTCTCGATTTGGTCCAAACCCTAAAAGTCTTGGTCTTGTCTCAGTCTCGAGACACTGTGGTCTTGGTCTTGACTTGGTCTCGAGACACTGTGGTCTTGGTCTCGACTTGGTCCAAACCCTAAAAGTCTTGGTCTTGTCTCAGTCTCGAGACACTGTGGTCTTGGTCTTGACTTGGTCTCGGGTTAGGTGGTCTTGACTATAACACTACATTCTGCTCTTGCTTAATATATAATCTCAAAACAAGATGAAAAATACTCTTTGGTTCGATATAAGTGCACAATTTGATTTTGCAGAGTACCCCTGAGTGAAAAATAAATTCATAACATCTGTTCATCTAGAAAGAACTCTAGCTCCCTCATTTAAACCACATAAACATTTTTTGATGCTGCCTCTAAAAAGAATCGAAATTGGGAATTATTGGGAACCGTGGAATCCAAATGAGGAACCGGAATCGTTCAAATTCAAAYGATGGCCAACCCTAAACACAAGGCTGGTCAATATTAAATATTTCATTTTATTTGTGATTATTACATTTTCAAACACACTCCAAGGGAGTTGTATGATCACTTTATGAAACTTAAACTTTCACTAAGACGGTCACTTCTTTCTTTCCACATCAAACATGAATGTCATTCTGACTTCAGCATTAACTAAACGGTTACTGGAAATTCAGCAGAAGCTGTTAAACGAGTTGCATGCGTGATAACAAGTTTTGCTTTTTCACAAGTCACCTTACGCTTTGTTCTTCTGACAAATCATTCTTTAGAAATTCTTTGAATCAAAAGACGAGGTGACTCAAACTTTGGATTTAATCAGTCACTCAGTGACAAAACAGACCTCATCTCCTCAGTCATCTCCATCAGAGGACTTCACAACACTGACAGAGGAACCCTGATAAAACTCTATTAATTAGTAATAGAAATAACAAGAATGTTATTAAGAATCTGAAATTGAATTAAGAGATAAACTGTACTACAAATGCTTTAAGTGTTGGCAATTTACTATATAATAAAAACAAATTAAGCCTATTCATTACAAAAAGTAATTTGAACCCATTTGTTTGTGATCATGACCCACAGGTTTTAGCTTTATGTGCTTGATTACAAAGATATATATTTTTATCTTAAATTTTCTTAAATAAACTATTATTTAAATTTTGGTCTTGTCAGTATTTTCATTGTATTCTTATTAAAGTTTCCAGACTTTACTGGTTACATAAAATTGAACCATCATGTGGGAATAGTTCGTTTAGTTTCTGTCCTGCAGCCAACATCTGAGACCAGACTACTCACTGTCTCTTGGTTCAGGGTCCAGTCCTCTGAACCTGCCCGAGGGTCTGGCGTCCACCACCTGGAACCTCTTGGTGTCCAGGTTGTCCAGCATGTCCTCGTAGGTTTTCACCCACGAGCGGTTCAGAGTGGCCTTATACTCGGTCGGAGCGGGTCTCTTGGACTGGTGACCCACSGGTCGACCCTCCAGCTCCCAGTTCCTGAACCCCCCGTTGAGCAGAGACACCGAGCTGTGGCCGAACACGCGGAACATCCACCAGACCCGAGGCGCCGCGAACTCACCGAACTCGCTGCAGTCGTACACCACGACGTGCGTGTCGTTCTCGATCCCCAAGTCCCCCACGTAATCCGAGAAGCCGGTCTCGGACGGCAGCATGTGGTCCAGGGGAGACGTCTTGTCGCAGCACTGATCTATGTCAAAGAACGCTGCGCCCGGGATGTGCTTCTGCTTGAACTCGCTTTTGGCGTTCCGTCGCAGCTTGGGCAAATACCAGGAGGTGTCCAAGATGCGCATTTTCCTCTGGACCTGCACAGCCTCCGCGAGCCACTTAGAGGTGACCAGGGCTCGAGCTTGAAGCGCCATGGTGAGTTCGTGGACAAGCGGGCAGCTTAGAAAGTTTAACTCTGTCGACCTGTACCAAAGGTCGAAAAATGACAGAGGGAGCAAAGGTGTTTTAGGAAAAGGAGGGAGTGAGTGGCGTTCAATGTCACAATTGGAAGCTGTGGGAATTATAATACATATATTATAGCCTAAAGTCTCAAAACTATCTGTGTGCTCCCATTAATAAATAAACAAGCAAAGTGCAACAGATCACGCATTAAATTAGCACATGCAACAATGGTTTTCACTGAAGGATGTGTTTAAAATCTTTCTGAACAAACTTAGTGAAAGTATTTGTTGAATGAAATTTCATTGTTCTGTCTAGCAAAATAGCTCCTTAATTTTAGGTAATGCGTTCAACTATATTATTATTATTATTATTATTATTATTATTATTATAGCAATAGAATGGTAGGAACTATTTACTTGTTAGTTGATATCCGGGGAACACTTTCAATCGGTGCACAACCGGATGTTGCCGCATTTACACGCTTCTTTCCACTTTTTTAAGCGAAATGTTTTAAATGTAGATTTTAAACAGTAAAACTGAGCTCACAGGTTTAAATATGTCGGTGTCGTTGGTCAGAAAAGGACTGGAGCTGCTGAGCGAAGATATTAAAGGTCAGTTTTAGCTTGTATTTGTTTGTTTTTCTTTCTCGTTGACGATTGAGTGAAGCTGCATCTGTCGGTGGTTGTCAAGCCAGCTCAAAATGCTTCAAATCACAAAAACATGGACTTTTTTATATAGAAATCAGAATTTTAGATTTGTCCATAAATAACAACTTTTTATTTTAATAAAATAGGAAAACTGGTAACAAAGGTTAGTTTAGGTGATCAGTCTGCCTTTCCTCTCTTATTGAAAAAGGCTCATTTGATTTGTCCTGATGCATCTCAGTAATATTATCCAGGTAGGAAAAAAAAAAAAAAAGTATGTCCTCTGGATGGGTTCTTCTTTAGTGTTTCGTCTCTTGTCCAAACATTTCACTAAAGAAGAACCCATCCAGAGGACATACTTGTTTTTTTCTTTTTGATGAAGCAATGTGCATTATCAAATACAAAGTAATTACATTAGGAGAAGTACAATAACAAGTTTGCTATTTAAACTGAAGAAAATATGTGTCTGTGTGTTTATAAGACAGAATTAAATTATTATGATACATTCAAGGACGGAGGGTGTGCGTAGCTATTCAGTCCAATATGCATCCGGCTCCAGATAGGATGTTTTTTGGTTTGAATTGGTTTGACAGCTTTTTCACTGTCTGTTGTTTTCTCTTCCTCTTATGTGCCTGATCCCAGATAGCAGAAAAGCGAAGAAGAAGGGTCAGACCCCCAGCTCGGCCACAGTGATGGAGCTGGTGAGCACCAAGAGGCAGGGGGTCACCAGGCAGGTCAAAAGGCTGCAGGGCCGCCTTGGTCCCGGAAAGAGCAAAGCCACAGTCAAAGACAAGAGGATCATATCTGCAGTAGGTAAGGCCACATTTTTATTTTTATAGACGTTGACCGCAGCTGACAAAAATCCACATGAATTGTAATACTGTAGGATATGCTGGCTGTTTAGGGACTTGATGCAAAGATAAGAAACAGGAACCACAACAGGTTAGTTTGTTTGTTCGTACAAAAAAGCTTAACTATCTGCATTGTTGTTTGAATAGTTTTTTATGTCAGCATCCTCCCTCCTCGACTTGATGTCACACAATATTTGTTGCAATTTTATTTTCATCCAGTGACAAAAGGAAACAAAAAAAGATGATTTTAAAACCATCGGTCTTCATTTTTTAAGTTCACGTCTATAAATCTGTAGCTCCAAATATATGAGCTGATTGAAAGTTGACAAAGCTTTGTAAAAAAAAAGTACTTAAAGCTTACGCATAAAACATAAAAAGCCATTAAGTTGTAAAAATATTTATTTTTTGTTTTGTGTTTTTGCAGACGAGTTCCGAAAAAAGCAACCAAAGAGCCAGATGAGCGCCAACCTGAGATACTTCTTGAAAACTGGCGGTAAAGCAGCAGATTCTGATACAATGAAGGTAATTCTGACACTCAATCAATGCTGGTCTCCTGCACTTCTTCCATGCATTCAAGGTTTATTTAAAATACCATCGCTGTAATGTCAAATTTTAAAGTCAACCATCAAGACCTAAACCCATCAGAACTAAATAAAATTTGACCTGTGGTTTGTATAGCTGAAGTGTTGACTTGGTTTCTCCCTGACTTAGATCTTGAACCACAACAAAGGAAGACAGTCAAGAAATCGCCCCGACCAACCTGTCAAAACGCCCAAGGAGACACAGTCTTTGTTTACGGAGGAGGAGTTTCAGCAGTTCCAGAAAGAGTACTTTGGCAGGATTGTTGAGAAGAAATAACACCACCCAGAAAAGAGACACCGTAGCCACAGTAGAAACAGCAGGTGCTGTGTTCTATGGATTAATGTGGATTTTTGAATGTACTGGAAGTCATTCCCAGCTCACATAAGGACAAAATCCTTCTGCTGTGTGTCTGAAATAGATGCTTTAACATGAAATATACCACGTCATGAGCTGTAGTTCCCAAAACTTATTGGATAAGAAGTGGATTTGTGCAGATACACAAGATTTAATAACCTAATGTGTGACATAATAACCAAGTATGCAACCAATGAAGCAGCCGTTCTGTCCTTTTTTTTTTTTTGTATTTTATTTTCATTTAAAATATAAACACTGTTTACTAAAAAACAAATCTGTTAATTTGTTCATGCTTCATCATTTGAAATTTCCTCCATTTAAAATATGTTGTCGTGGGTGGAAAAATAGGGATTTTACTCAAGATTTTAAAGTTTGAGTTAGAGAAAAACCTTTTTAGTTAACTTTTATAAAATCATCCTCTGGAAAGAATCAGTAAAAGATTTTCTTGTTTTTGAAAACTTTCAAATGACTCATTGATGTAGTGCAGTGGTTCCCAACCCTGGTCCTGGAGGCCCAATATCCTGCATGTTTTTAGTTTCCTGCTCTTCAGCAGGTCTTCAGAAGGCTGTCAGTCACTCATACATACAAGTCAGGTGTATTAAAGCAGGAAAACATCTATAACATACAGGATAGTGAATCCTGAGGATCATGGGAGCCACTGATGCAGTGAATAGTCACATGGTCTACTGGTCTTCATCCACTTTAGTTTTAATTATGCATTATGTTTTGTTTTTCTATGCAAGTCCCAAGAAGAATCTAACACTTCTATTGCTGCAAAGTGTAATAATTTATCAAGGCTGGCAGCAGCTGTTAAATCTGGTGACAGGATGGAATGTGAACTGATCCCTTTAACTTTGGAGCTAGTTTTCTGGAGCTTTTCTTCTAGAGGCTGGTCCGTCTTAACATGGTGCTTCACAAGGCAGTTTTAATAAAAACAAAAGAGAGAAAAACACTGAAAAATTAGCTTATCTAGTGTTATGGTGATATTTATTTAACAAAGCCAGAAATACGTGGTCCAAGAATGAAGGTACTCCGTGAGATGATCAGCTGAGTTTTATTGCAACAACAGGAAACACAGACAACCTGGCCTGTCTCTGTGCCTCTGCTTCTCTCTGTCAGTCTCTCCACACTACCGTTTTACTGTTGAACACTGTGTCTCGAGAGGCCTCATATATATACTGTATATTAACAAACACCATTC